GGCTCAAGGTTGACTCCGAGGTGGGTGAAATGGGGACCCAGACCGTGCGGGCGATATGCTGACTCTGTAAACCGCTTAGAGAGGGCTGAAAGCCCTATGAAGCGGTATATAAGTCTAACTGCTATTGCTATTGCTATTGCTATTCTGAATCTTGAGTTTATGAGAATGTTTGAAGAGGTTTTTTTCCCCCCAACTTGACCTGGAAAGGCTGAACAATGCCAGAATAAAGCGATCTCATCTGTAAAATGGGTTAATTGGCACATTCTTGAAATATCAATAATATACTAACATATAACAAATAACCCCATTTTGTCTGTAATTAAATTTTTCCCTTTGTCGTGCTTTTGCACAGACAAGCCCTTTAAAATCAATAAAGTAACACGCATGTCGGTCTGTATTGGATTTCAACCGGTGTGTTTTAGCACATTATCATCTTTTAATAAACACTGTAAATGGGTCACAGTTATTCCCACTTTAGAAATGAGAGCAGTTGTTGCTTATGATCCTATCAGGAACATGCAACCAATCTATATCTGAGCTGGTTTCCTGCGGCCGGATCTAACATAATTGTCCCCTTAACCCACTTTAGTCCTGGCACATATTTTTTATATAACTTTATTAAGATTCTGATTCTGCTCCCATGAGCTTAATGTTCACTGTCAAAATCTGAGATAAAGCAGTCCAAATTACAAGCTCAAACCTATTTACATGGAAATAGGTTTGAGCTTGTAAATAGTATTAGTATACTATTAGTATTAGTATAGTATTAGAGTTAATAGTATTAGGCAGTATTATTAGTAATAGGCAACAAGATTATTATTATTATTAGGTGTATTTAGTTTTAGATTGCTCTATAGCTTTATAGCAAGACAATATTAGTGTTCTTCTTTTAAAAAATAATCAATATTTTGCAGTAGCTGTAATGCAGAAATATTACACTGTATGGAAATCAGAAAGTTTTTGGATAAAACCATCATATTTTTCACTGAAGAAAGTTAAACAAGCAACAGGTTAACAAGCAAACCACATTTACTTTCTTTTGTTATTTACTTTTCATCACCATGCTGGAGAAGAATTAAAATGAGTTGACGATCAAGAATAGCATCCTTCTCCTATAGATCTGGCCCGCAATCTTAGGACGAAGGCTGCAAAATTAGCAGTGACAGAGAGAGGAAAGTAAATAGCAGAGTAAAACATTTGGGCTATTAAAAGAACAGCCTTGGTTCCCTCCCTCCCCTCTAGCTGAAGTGTATTCTTTTATAACAAAGCGAAGGGAAGGGAAGGGATTCGGAGGAAGAGTGATGTAGATGAAGCTGCTGTGGGTTCCAAGTCAGGAGAGATGAGGGGGCTAGAGTGACAGGTCGGCCCAGCATCTCTGGGGACAGTCTAGATGGTCTCTAACCCTCCCTCACAAGAAATAGAGCCCTGAAAGGAAGCTTGGGGGAGAAGGTCCAGGATGCCGTTCCCCTCTTCTCCCCAACCTGTCACCTTCAGCCTTCATTTTTCACAGGTTGCAAACCGGACAGAGAGTCATCAGCTACCAAAGAAGAAAAAATCCTTTTGCATCAGAGAGCAGGATTAATTCATGAGTGCTGCAGGTGGTTGGGTGGGAGTTGCTTTCTTGCTCTTCAGGTAGGAGAAGAGTCCCACAGCCAGGAAGGCCACTCCTATCACGACCCCCATTATCCCCGTCCAGAGTTTGCTCCTGGCAGAGCTGGAGGAACGGAGTTCCCACTGGACAGTGATGGGGGCCTCTAGGGTGGTGTGCTCCACTTTGCAAGTGTAGTCGTCCCCCCCCCCCGCTGGGGTTGGGTCTCCAGCATCACCTGGAGCTGGTAAGTCCAGTCTCCGTTCTGGAGCAGCCCCCCAAAGGCCACGCCCTCCTTCTCCAGCTGCCCATTTTTCAGCCACCGGACCTCGATCTCCATGCGGTAAAAGCCCATCACGGTGGAGAGGAGGATGGTGTTGAGGGAAGCGGGGTGCATCTTGGTGGGTGAGATGGTGGCAGTGGGCTTGGCTCTCCGGCCGATCAGTCACTGCTCGGTCTTGGCCGCCTCGTAGCTGGCCTCATCTTGTAGGCCTGTCAGCAGAAGCGATCCACAGAATAACCTTGTTTTGAAAACCTTGCCTAGTAATTATAGCAGTCGGGAATTATCTTGAACAGAGGGAACATGGTGGGATGGAGTCTTTAGTTCGTCTTCCCTGCCCCGCATCTCTCTGTTTTAAGAGAGAGATGTTGCTTTCAGTTCTTTTTTGGAGTCCCCACCTGGCCAGAGAAGATGCTTTTGTAGGGTGAAAGATCAGATTCCATAACCATTTATTCCCTTCCTTGATCAGGTGAGCCGACCCCACCCAAGTGATCATCCTATACTGGTTATCTTCATGGTCGGTGGTGTAACAGTATCTGAAGTCCGAATGATAAAGGATCTTGTAGCGGCGCACAAGCCTGGAGTAGAGGTATGGAATATATATGAGTAATACTGTCAGCGTTCCAAATATCATCCAGAATTAAATCAGAGTCCAGGTATAAGGTAAAGGTTCCCCTCGCACATATATGCTAGTCGTTCCCACTCTAAGGGGCGGTGCTCATCTCCATTTCAGAGCCGAAGAGCCAGCGCTGCCCGAAGACATCTCCATGGTCATGTGGCTGGCATGACTAAACACCAAAGGCACATGGGACGCGGTTACCTTCCCACCAAAGGTGGTCCCTATTTTTCTATTTGCATTTTTCCCCATGCTTTCGAACTGCTAGGTTGGCAGAAGTTG